ACTATACAATTGTATCATTGTTGATAATTAGTTTTTTACCCTTTTATCTGGCAACAAAACTGACACCTTTTTTACGAGGAGTCATGTTTGCATAGACCACAATACCTGCAGTCATAATGCAAACAAAAAACATAACTCTGATAATGTATGCATTGTCCTTGAAGTTGATTGGTCCACCCCGAGACAGCTTTCCTTAGAAACTAGTCTCACATGGGTTGGACCAGATGACGCCAAAAGGCGCACAACTCAAAGACAATGCACCATCAGAGTATGAGAGCTCGGGGTAAGCATTTACACCATTGGTACCTCATTTGCCAGTAAAAAATATGATAATTGGTTTTTTACCCTTTTATCTGGCAACAAAACTGACACCTTTTTTACGAGGAGTCATGTTTGCATAGACCACAATACCTGCAGTCATAATGCAAACAAAAAACATAACTCTGATAATGTATGCACTGTCCTTGAAGTTGTGGTCTATGCAAACATGACTCCTCGTAAAAAAAGGTGTCAGTTTTGTTGCCAGATAAAAGGGTAAAAACCAATTATCATATTTTTTACTGGCAAATGAGGTACCAATGGTGTATCATTGTTGTAAAGCGCCTTGGAATGAGGCGCTATATACATCTTTCTAAGGTAAGATTCATTTCTGATAAACAACTCCGTTGGCTCATAATAGTTATGCTTTGTTGAGCGGTGGTGGCTGTGCACGCCTCCAATCCATCAGCTGTGAACGCGAGGGCTGGTGGATCACGCATGTGTTTACGGAACTCAACACCCGTGAGCGGCGAGCTGCCGTCAGCTCGCCAGGAGATGGCAGTACAGCAACTATATTCATCTCCATCTATGAAAAAGAAGAATAGGTTTTACCTTTTCCGATAATGAAAACGGGTGTTAAGATGTTCAAACACCAAACAGAAACCTTTTGCAAGAATCAGTTACTGCATTTATCACACGCAGTGCTTGCGTGCTGCCACGACCGCGGAGCGACTCCACAAGCGCCGCGACTCCCCCTGGCCCCCCACCCTGAGCACACACATACACCCACGCAGCACACACGCACGCAGCACACACGCACGCAGCACACACACACGCAGCACACACCCACGCAGCACACACGCACGCAGCACGCACGCACGCAGCACGCAACACGCACGCAGCACGCAACACGCACGCAGCACACACGCACGCAGCACACACACACGCAGCACACACACACGCAGCACACACGCACGCAGCAAACACGCACGCAGCACACACGCACGCAGCACACACACACGCAGCACACACGCACGCAGCACGCAACACGCACGCAGCACGCAACACGCACGCAGCACACACGCACGCAGCACACCCACACGCAGAGGCGTAGCTAGGGGGGGGCAGGGGGGTACATATGTCCCCGGGCGCCAAGGTAAAGGGGCGCCAAAATGAGGCTTACAGCGTTACATTATAACTTGTTGCGGCGGGCGCGGCAGCCTGAAACTACTGCACAAATCTACACATCAACCTAAAAGTTTATATATCCCACCACACACAGCCGACATGTCATGTAATTACATTTTGGTACGTGCGCCTATTAAGAACTTACATGGAAGAACGTCCCAAACAACAGACAGGCGCAGTCTTTCAGCCTCAGTCACTGGCCTGTTTTTTGGTGGCGGAAACTACGACGGCCTGAAACACGCAGGAGTGCACGATCAGAAGCTGTTAAAGCTATCTATGAAGGACTGGATGAACTAGTAGGGCTGCTAGACAAATTATCGGAGGACGTAACTATGACGCCTGAAACCAGAAGTGATGCAAAACAGGCATGCGTATTAAATTTTAACTTCATAGTTTTATTACATTTCCGGAATGTCATTCTTGGAAAAATTGATCGTGCTCAGAAGCGCTTACATGATCCTACTATGAATTTCAAGGAAGCAGCAACTGATCTTGAATCTTTGGAGCATGAATTTGTCAAGCTTCGTGATGATTTGAGCCAAGTTGCTGTAGAAAACGCAAAACAAGATGCACAGCCTGGGGGATCGATGTGGACAGAAGAATTAGGCGACGTCGGAAGATGCCAGGAGAACTGGCAAGAGATGCAGGACTTTCAGCAGAAGAAGAAATTGTGTGCGTTATGAAGAGCGTATTTTATCGACTTCAACAGGAGATGTCAACACGGTGTTTACGACTAAAAGGACCTGAACACAAAATTTTGATTTCTGCTGGACGTCAAAACTCTTCTATCCGACACAGATGTCGATGCAATTCGTCGAAATTGCACAGATTTTGGAAATTTCTATGACACCGACATCAATGGCCACGAATTTTTCACAGAAATTGGAGATTGCAAAATGTTTCTCAGTAACCGGAATGAAGTTCTACCAGAAACTCCTTTGGATCTTCCTGGTTTTATTGTGTTTTATGGAGACGACATATTTCCGAATTTGCGAATTTCACTGCAAATTTTATTAACAATAGCAGTTTCAATTGCAAGCTGTGAGCGGTCGTTCAGCAAATTGAAACTTATTTTGTCGCATTTGCGTGCTTCAATGGGACATGATCGTCTCAGCGATCTTGCTCTTCTTAGTGTTGAAAGAGAAACTTTGAAAAAACAGATTTTGATTACGTGTTGACCAGTTTGCGACAGTGAAATCAAGAAAAATGTATCTTTTGTAGACTATGTCAACCAGTCTACGACAGTGACTGAGTGAGCCATGTAATATAATTTCTATAAATTTGCTTCTTTAAATACAATGTTTCATTAAAATTTAAATTGTTATTCCTTATTCGATGTAATAGGAAAATGTGATTAAACGGGAGGGGGCGCCAATTTTATAGTTCGTCCCCGGGCGCAAAATATTCTAGCTACGCCTCTGCCCACACGCAGCACACCCACACGCAGCACACCCACGCGCAGCACACACACGCGCAGCACACACACACACGTAACACACACACGCAGCACGCACACACGCAGCACGCACACACACGCAGCACACACACGCAGCACACACACGCAGCACACACGCAGCGTACACACACACGCAGCACACACACGCAGCACGCAACACGCACACACGCAGCACGCGCGCACACACGCAGCATACACACACACACATGCAGCATACACACACACACATGCAGCACTCACACACACATGCAGCACTCACACATGCAGCACTCACACACACATGCAGCACTCACACACACATGCAGCACTCACACAGAACGCACACACACGCAGCGCACACACAGCGCAGCGCACACACGCGCAGCGCACACACGGAGTGCCTCGGCGGGGGATCGCCTGGCACAACGGGTTTTCATCCGAAGGGCCCCTAGGAGGGAAGTTCCGCGGTTTCCCGGCGCCAGTAGATTGGCCGACCCTCACAGGACAGGTCACATTGCGGTGTCCCTAAATTAGCTTAAAATTGTGTAGGGCTGTTACAGAGGGGCTGTTTTATGTAGGGCTGTATGCATAGGATCAAACGGGTGAACAAACACAGTGGGCGGGGCTCCGTCAGTACACGGGGAGGTGCCCGCAACGACGTCCGCACCGGGCGGCCTGGGGGGGCTGCCCGGGGGGTTGTGATCCTCTGGGGGGTATAAAAGGGGATGAGCCGGAGAGCTCGAGGTTCAGTCTTAGAGTAAAAGGGGGAAGACGGAAGATCGACTAGCTAGGCCCTGGACTCCCCTGGGACGCCGCCCTTGTCAGGGCCGCGCAGGACCGAGCCAGTGGCGTGGTCCCGTGAACCAGAGTTAGTACTCTGGGACTCCGGGTACCGTAGCCCGACTGACCAGTGTCGGGCTAGATAGCCTCCCCGTTAGTGGAGGACTAGGGATAGGTCAGGGGTAGCTAATAGAGTATTCCCAGCTATCCGGGTGAGGGGGCCGATACACCTCTCTAGTATTGTATGTCCGCAGTGTGACTACTTGTACAAATAAACACGTGTGCCTTACAACGGTGTCCAAGCGTCCTCAACGGTACTTCAATTGTATGGGCGCACACATGTTCACCCGGCCAGCCACAATGAGTCATGCACGACATCGGGGAGGGGGCTGTGGTGAAATATTAAGCGATCAGAGCAGACGACGAGGTCAAGGGATCGCAGCGCCACACACCGAATGCACACGGGCTGGGTGCGTAGTCGCCAGCCGGACACCCTTCCAGATTAAACGGGTTGAGTCAGGAATTCATGAGTACAGGTGCACAGACAAATAGGTTGCACAGAATAGAAGCTGGGTCCCGAGAGGGACCAGGGTTGTTCATCCCGGGAAAGAAACCCTTCGTCTACGATCTCCGTTCAACGAGTCTTCCAGCACGTGGACCCGGGCAGATGTTGTGGTCCCGGATCTGTAGTAGCAGTTACGTGGTAACTAGTGAAGTAACTAGTGTAGCTAGCCGGGTGGTCACCACCTTAGGGTGTTATTCTGCTAAGAGGAAGTTACCCCGTGTTGGAACTGAATACATGTGTTGCCTCCGAAGTCTACGCCTGCGACTCGGTTCAACCCATTACACGTGCCTTGTCTTTGAAACTGATTGTCCTACACCAGAGGTAGCCTTCCATATAGCCTTGTCTCACCAGTGTCAGACCACAGAACGCCAAAAGACGAACAGTAACAAAGACAGTGCAACTATCAGCATTTATAGCTCGGGACGAGCAGCAACATCTTAACACCCGTTTTATTCCCAGAAAGGGATACTGGCAAAAAGGTCCCATGATACAATCTTCGTCTGTTTGCATCTGAATATGAAGTGAGCGCTACCCCCTCTTCCCACCTCAACGCGTGAGTGAACTCCGAGTGGGGGAAAAAACACGCGCAATATATATTTTCTAAATCGCTAAAAGTCACCAATAACTAAACGTATGCAGTATATATTATTTTAAACGTACAGTGCTGCACAATCTAATTAGATTGTGCCATGTCACACAGCAAGGGTTATAATTTGGGCCATAAATCGGGCGGAACGTTGCACAGCTCTCTCTCTCTCTCTGCTCTCTCGCCCTTCCGCGTGGGCGCTCCAGCAGCCTGAGCGCAGCCACCACCACCACCACGGCACGGGGACCGCGGCCGCGTTTACGCTCCCAGCTCTTTTGAAAACGTTTTCACCGGTAACGTCATGGGTGTAAAAGCCGCCTGCTGCTTTCTGTTCGCGCTCGCCACGCAACGTAAGTGATTGCGCCATGTCGTGGAGTGTTATCCCGTGACAAATGTCATCGGTTATTGTAAGTTTCATCGCTGTGGTGTATTATTGCTGCGCTGCGATACGAACCCGGCGTCCCGAGTTCGATTCCCGCTCACGGCTAACACCAGTGACGATTTTCTGAACCTGTCCTGGGCCTCCCCGAAGGTCGACTCGGCCTCAAATTAGTACCTGGTGCGGTGTGTAAACATCGCCACTGGGAGACAAAGGCGGTCGGGGTGGTGCTGGCCACCCACCCCCTCGCGTGCTGTGCCGGCCTTCACTAGGTGCTACTCCCTAGCAGCACTTGCCCCCCACACTCTGTTAAGGCTACCCGGGGGATCTTTGTCTTTGTCTTTGTCTCACCTCAGCTCTGTGTTGCACCCTCAGTGTTGAGTTGGGGTTCCTGTGCGTTTTCGGCAGCTCTGTTAAACAGCGTGAGATTATCAAATGATGCTTCGCGTTGGTTCAATTGTTGCAATCGGTTGTGAGCGGAACCGATATTCATAATCGGGGCGTTGTTGTACGCTCGTGCATCGCGAGCCACTTTAATTTGTTCAGCTGTTCCACATTGTTACTATGTCTGATGCCACACTTGGACCAGATCGTTACTACAAATCTATTCTGAACGGTCATATGATTACGGTAATTAACTTTTGAATAGCAGTCTGAAAGAGGAAGTTCGTTTTGACAATTGGTCTGTGAAGATGAACCTTTTCTATGAATGGCACACGGTTCTACAAATTTGACCTTTTTATGGTATTGCTAAATATTACTTCTCATATTACTCATATTCGAGGGAACTGAAATGTTTAAAATTAAACCATTAGAGACTCGTCGAGCATGCTTGCGGAATTTCCCATTGGGGTCTCAGCGGGAAAAACCACCGCTGTCTGCAATGTTGAATGTTTTATCCACGAATTTAATAACTTCCTACGTGAAAAAAGTTAATCATCCCCTACGCGCTGAAGTTGTATAAGTATTACAGAGATTACGTGATTCTTTAACATTTGCAAAACTGAGTTGTAAATATGCCGGGTATATAGTAACCGATCAGCGAGAGAGCGAGGGTAGCTAGCGATTGCGATGGTTGTGAGTGCAAGTTAGGGGTCGACTCGGCTTCATCACCCCTTTGCGGGCATGGAAATGAGTACCACTTCGTAGGGAAGTCAAGTAAATCTAAAAGTAGTACGAAATAAACTTCGTAATACTTTTGGCCAGCACCACGCCCGAGCGCCTTTGTCTCCCCAGTGGGGATGTTTACGCACCTTACTAGGTACTCATTTGAGGAGCCAGTGGGGGTGGGGTGGCACGTGCTCCCCCAATGATCCGATCGAAATCCCTAATTTCGATCGGATCATTGTGGTTTATTAGTAATAAATCGGCATTTTGCGACCCCCCACTACCACTGTGTAGCATATTATTATTATGTGCCGGGGACTCTATGAGATGATAGGACAATAGTCTGAGTCCATAATTGGCAATAATTAACGACAAAGCAGTTAGAAGTGACTCACAGAATTGTGCGCAGGTGCGTATACGGGACACGACTTCCCTGAAGGCATCAACACCTTCAGCGAGCGCGATGCCGATCACACAACGCGGATCGAATTTGACCCTCACTTACTAACAACTCTTATATTTTTCATTTCTGGAGGGGTTGCCCCCCATTGTCCACACCAATGTGACAACAACCACCGCAATTCGCCACTAAGTGGCAGTGACGTTACCACGGCGCTTGTGCCAGGCTAGGTGCACGTTAAGGACCCGTGAAGTGCTGAACGCCCGCTGGCAGGAGGTCACAGTGACCATGGGTCGACTGACTGAGATGAGATGTGGCACACCCGCACACACACACGATATATGACCGGGAGGTTACTCGCCGTCACATCTACTGCACAGCAACTCCTCCAGCGACGCTTCGTCTTTTCACGCTCCCTGCCCCTTGCCTTCCCGTCCAATACACTCAAACATGTTTCCGCACGCGTCACTGTCAGTCTCCGCTTTAATTCTCACACTTCGCCTCTCCTCCTTCAACTTCGCACCGGCTCCTCGTTAACGACGCCGCTGGCTTTTTCAATACCTGACGCGCGTCGTTACATCTCTCCGTGGCCCTGCCTCATCATCATCATCGTCATCATCTCGCCTCACTCATCTCCCTCCATGTCCCCTCATCTCGTCCTCTTCGTTCCCAATCAACTCTCTGCCTCTCCTCCCTGTGCCCAATCCCGTTTCCAGTCCTTCTCCCTCCTTGTACCCTCCAATGGAATAAACTTCTCCTGTACATTGAGCAGCACCACCATAGACTCAACACTGCACCATAGACTCAACACTACACCATAGACTCAACACTACACCATAGACTCAACACTGCCCATAGACTCAGCACTGCACCATAGACTCAACACAGCCCATAGACTCAACACTACCCATAGACTCGACACTACACTATAGACTCAACACTGCCCATAGACTCAACACTACACTATAGACTCAACACAGCCCATAGACGCAACACTGCCCATAGACTCAGCACTGCACCATAGACTCAACACAGCCCATAGACTCAACACTACACTATAGACTCAACACAGCCCATAGACTCAACACTGCTCATAGACTCAGCACTGCACCATAGACTCAACACTGCCCATAGACTCAACACTACACTATAGACTCAACACAGCCCATAGACTCAACACCGCTCATAGACTCAGCACTGCACCATAGACTCAACACAGCCCATAGACTCAACACTACACTATAGACTCAACACAGCCCATAGACTCAACACTGCCCATAGACTCAGCACCGCACCATAGACTCAACACTACCCATAGACTGAGCACTACACCATAGTCTCAACACTGCCCATAGACTCAACACTGCCCATACACTGAGCACTACACCATAGACTCAAAACAGCCCATAGACTCAACACTGCCCATAGGCTCAGCATTTCACCATATATTCAACACTACACCATAGACTCAACACTGCCCATAGACTCAGCACTGCACCATAGACTCAGCACTGCCCATAGATTCAGCACTGCACCATAGTCTCAACACTGCCCATAGACTTAACACTGAACCATAGGCTCAACGTTGCCCCTACACTCCTTCCCATCCCTCCCCGATAGCCCTTTCGTGAGCCCCAAATACCCCTCGATTGCTCTCACTCATTCCTCAATCCTTGTAGCACTCCCTCTGCCCAACGAAATCATTCCACTCTGCGATTGTTGTGTAAGCTATGTCAAGCACCTTCAGTGAAAGCGCTCTATAAATATAAATTAGATTGTCACCAAACCCTGTCATCAACTTCCTTCCTAACGAGAAATAGATAATCCATCTGTTGTTGCTGCTTCCGGAATCTTACACAACATGAGTAAAATTTAAAGAACAATAATGTAATTTGCTTCATTGTGTGAGCTAACGTCATCGTGATGTCCATCATCCTTCCCACATGCTAAAGCATATCAAGAAATTCAAACTTGCCACTTTGAGATTGGTTCATGATGTTATCTCCCTCACCTGATATGCAGGAGGATGTGGGTTCGATCCCGACCCTGACACCTGCTGTATATTTGGAGTTTGTATGTTCTCCCCGTGGTTGCGTGGATTTTTCTCCAGGTCCTCCGGTTTTCACTCTACATTTAGACTCAACGTGCTTTTAAATTATTTGGCTACTATAAATTTACACACGATGATAAGCCCCTTCGTTGAGCTATCATTTATGGCCAGGTCGCTTCTGGGAAAAAGAGCCATACATCTCAGTGGGTCTTACATGGTAAAATGAAACAAAGTAAATCGTGATTCCCTCTCTTCTAGTCCACATAGCCGGTCTCGCAAGCAACGACCACTTCCATTACAAACTCGCGAGCATTCCCTCCAAAGCGATGTGCGACGGTTAACTATCTAATGCAACAACCCATGTGCAACTAGCGTGGTTGGCTACGTACAGTCTGTTCTCCCATAATGCGTCTTGTTGTTTTCATAACGCGAATTGGATGTGACGTGATTAATGTATTAGGGAACACATTTTTTATTACGCGGATGTGAATTGGATATAACACAATCGAGTGAACAGAACTACGTCACGCGAGTTGGAATAAGCGGTCGTACGGCTGCCTCGGCGTAGCATCACACAAGGCATTGGGATGCTGCTGGATGCTTCTAGATGCTACCCCCGCACCTAAGTCTTTGTTCAGCCTGCGTATGCATCTCACGTGTTATCATGGACTGTGCTTTGCCCTATATTATATACGAGCGGGAAGTACCTGGCGTTGCCCGGGCAAAAAAGAAACGCACACATCGACTTGCACACACACAGACATCGACCCACACACACATCGACCTACACGCACACACATATTGACTTACACACATTGACTAACACACACACACATGGACTTACACACACACACACATGGATTAATGCACACACATCGACGTACACACACACAGAGACTCACTCACACACATGGAATTACACACACATACATCGACATACACACAACAACCAACAACCGCCATTCGCCACTAAGTGGCGGTGACGTCACCACGAAGCTTGTGCCAGGCGATGTGCACCTTGAGGCCACGTGAAGTGTCGAACGCCCACTGGCAGGAGGTCACGGGGCAGACCCAGATGCCACAGGTCGACTGACTGAGACGACTGGCTGATGCACCACCTGTACCCCCGACTGTGCCAACTTGCTGTGCTTTAGCTACACATGCTGTTGTGAGCGTCGCTCCTCCGCCCTCCGTTGTTGTTGGAGGGCAACTGCCTCCAACTGCCCAGTAGCGCCCTTCACGAGCCTCTTCTACAGAGGCCGATCTTGACACCGCTGGTACCAGTCATCGGCAAGTCCGCTCAGCTTCACATCCTCCTGTACCACATCACTCCATCTCCTATCTAGCCTGTGCCGCGCCTATTTAGCCCCCTTGAGGGCTACATAGCCCAGCCAACGCAGCCTTGCCCGCTGTA